CTTTAACAAAAAATCACAAAAAGACTCAGAAATAAATTTAACAAAAGACTTTGCCCTAAAGAATTACAAAATTTGGGGGCCACCTGGGTGGCTCAGTCAGTTAAACATCTGACTCTTGTTTTCGGCTCAAGTCATGATCTCAGGGTCTTGAGATCAAGCCCTGTGTCTGTCTGGCTCTGTGCTCAGTGGGGAGTATGCCTAAGATTCTTTCCCCCTCTGCTACTCCCCCTGCTCATGCTCATGCAAGCTCTCTCTTTCAAATAAATAAATAAATTAAATATTTTTCTTTAAAAATTACAAAATTTTGTTAAGAGAGATTGAAGGAGATCGAAATAAATGGTGACATATATCATATGAATGGATTGAGAGGCTTGACAATGTTAATAAGTCACTTCTCCCCAAACTGATCCATATAGTCAAAACAATCCCAATCAAAATCATGGAGAACACTTTTTGTTGTTGTTATTAGAAATTGATAAACTGATTCTAAAAAAATTTTTTTAAAGATTTTATTTATTTATTTGACAGAGACAGACATGGCAAGAGAGGGAACACAAGCAGAGGAAGTAGGAAGAGGGAGAAGCAGGCTTCCTGCTGAGCAAAGAGCCTGATGTGGGGCTCGATTGAAGGACCCTGGAATCATGACCTGAGCCAAAGGCAGACACTTAACTGATTGAGCCAACCAGATGTCCCTAAAATTTTTTTTAAAAGATTTTATTTATTTTTCAGGGAGAGAGAGAGAGCACACGCACAAGCAAGGGGGAGCGGCAAGCAAAGGAGAAGCAGACTCCCTGCCAAGCAGGGAGCCTGATGTGGGGCTTGATCCCAGGACCCTGAGATCACAACCTGAGCCAAAAGCAGATGTTCAACCAACCGAGCCACCCAGGTATCCCCTGATTCTAAAATTTACATAGAATATAAAATGCCAACAGAATCTTGAAAAAGAAAAATGCTGGGGGACTTATCTGACACCCTAAAGCAAACCTAAACCTAAGCAAGACTGATTTTCATCAGGATAGAAATGAAATTATACAGAATAGAGTCCAGAAATTGACTCACACTTAATACAATCAACTGATTTCAATGAAAAGGAAAATATTTCAACTAATAGTGGAACAAGTGGATATTTGCAGGAAAAATAATGAGCCTTGACACCTACCTGACACTATCTACAACAATTAATTCAAGATGGGTCATAATGCTAAATGTAAATGTTAAAACCATAAAATATTTAGAAGAAATCATAGGGAATATTTCCAGGGCCTGAGGTTAAGCAAAGATTTCTGAATAGGACCCAGAAAACAGTAACAATAAAAGAAAAATATGATAAATAAGACTTCATCAGAATTTTAAAATTCTGTTCATTAGAAAATGGATAGCCATGGGGTCATAGGGTGCCTGGCTGGCTTAGTAGGTAAGCAACTCTAGATCTCAGGGTCGTGAGTTCAAGCCCCATGTTGGGGTTAGAGTTTACTTTAAAAAAAAAGAAAAAAGTAAAAAAAAAATGGATAGCCAAGCCACAGTGAGAAAATATTCACAAAATTTTATTACTGGTAATAGTAATATTAATAAAAGTATTACTGACAAAGGACTTATTTCTAGGATATGTGAAGAACTCCCACCATTTAATAAGAAAAAAGACAAACAAAAAATGGGCAAAGTTGGGGCGCCTTGGTGAGTCAGTCAGTTGAGCAATGACTCTTGATTTAGCCTCAGGTCACGATCTCAGGGCCCTGGGATCCAGCCCCATGTCAGGCTTCATACTCAGTGGGGAGTATGTTTGTGGATTTTCTCTCCCTCTTCCTCAGCCCCTCTCTCCATCACATCTCTGTCTCTCTCTAAAGATAAATAAATAAATCTTTCATTTTTTTTAAGATTCCATTTCATTTGAGACAGAGAGAGAGAACGAGCAGGGGGGAGGGGCAGTGGGAGAGAGAGAAGCAGACTCCCCACTGAGCAGAGAGCCTGAAGTGGATCTTGATCCCAGGACCCTGGGATCCTGATTCCAGGACCCTGAGCTGAAGGCAGATATTTAACCAACTGAGCCACCCAGACATCCCCCAAAATAAATAAATCTTAGAAAAGAAAAAAAGATGGAGATAAGATTTGTGTATTTCAATTTTACCCAAAAATGCCTGCATAAAAAAAAAAAAATCAAGATGACTGGGGTGCCTGGCTGTCGGTAGAACATGAGACTCTCGATCTCTGGATCATGAATTCAAGCCCCACGTTGGACATAGTGTTTACTTAAAAAAAAAAAAAAATCAAGGTGACTAAACCAACTGCAGTACGTCCTCCTAAATGGAACAGTACTCAACAACAAAAGGGAATGAACTGGGCAAATCTCAAAACATGATGCTGAGCAAAAGAAGCCAGACAGAAAACATTAGATAAATGGTCCCATTTATTTATCTAGTGTTCTGGAAAAGGCAAAACTAGACCAAAACAGCAGTTGATATGGTATCAACCACAACAGGGCAGCATGCGAGATCTTTCTGAGGTTATGGCAAGGTTCCATTCGTTCTCTGTGGCAGTGTGGTCGCTGTGCAGACCTAAGTTCAGTCTACTATTTCCTGCAGGTGTTCAAGTGTTTTCCACGTGGCCAGCACTCCTGGTCAAATCTCTCTCTCCCGCCCTCTGCTTCTGCCATCACATCTCCATCTCTACCTCTCCTGTCTCCCTCCTTCCTTATAAGGACCCTTCCAAATGCACCATGGCCACCCACATAATACAGGATAATATGATTATACGGGATACCCAACTATATCTGTGTATCAAAACTCAGCACTGTACCCATATAAAGGATGAATTGTAATTGCATGTAAATTATACGTCATAAGCCTGACTTTTTAATTTTTTTTTAAGATTTTATTTATTTGGAGGGGATGCAGAGGAAGACAATCTCATGCAGACTCCCCACTGAGTATGGAGCCCAATGTGGGACTTGATCTCAATAAGCCTGACTTAAAAAAAAAATAACTAAGGGGTGAGCAAGGAGTGGGTATAGGGATAGATACAAGACAGCAGGGGTGTCTGTCAGTTAAGTGTCTGACTCTTGGTTATGGCTCAGATCTTCCAGATCTCCCAGCTGTGGGATCGAGTCCCACATTGGGTCCGTGCTCAGCGCAGAGTCTGCTTTGGATTCTCTCCCTCTCCCTCATGCTTGCGTGTTCTCTCTCTCTCTCTCAAATAAATAGATAATATTGTGAAAGAAAATACAACTACGACAAGAAAGGCAGAATGCTGGTGACTGGAGAAGCTCGGTGGTTGGTATATGGTCGTCTGTTCTGCTCTTCTGTTTGTTTTATTTAACATTTGAAATTTTCAATGATAGGAAGTTGTGGTTGTTCATTTTGAAGGAAAGAGAAATTGTGTGATGGAGGCAAAGATGTCACAGAGTCATTGATTGTTCATCCCTCAGGACACTTTCTGCACATGAATGAACTGATGCCCCTGGAGTGTCAAACTGACTTCCTGTATCACCGCCGGCCCCCCCATGTCCCACCACACATACTTAAATAATCTAGAGTTCTTTACTTTGACAGTTTTGCTGATATTCCTCAAAAATTTTTAATGCCACTTGATTCTTGGCTGCCACTTTTTTTTTTTTTTTCTTCTCTGTTTTAAGGTCTTCTTATTCCCTGGGCTTGGGTATCCTCTCCCACTTAATATTTATTTATTTTTAGAGATGCCCTTTTCCTCACAATGGTCTCTTTGATATGTCAGTAAACCATGCAGGGCTTATTTTTCAAGTGGCTGTTCTTTTGGATTTGTGCCATGCATTTATCACGGGCTTCCAATAAAGCACTTTGAAAAAGAAATAGGCTCCAGGCTTTCTATGGGCTGTAACTTTTTTAAACAATCCCTTTCATTTCTCCCCCTTAATGCCCTCATTCTGTCCCAGTTTCCCTTTCTAAAACTGAGCAATCAAATGATGGATTCGCCCCCTCTCTTTCCCGTTAGCAGGCTGAATGTGTATTGTGGTCACTATTGACAGAGTGGTTTACCCGTGACCACTCAGTGCCCCAGTGTGGTTACTGTGCAGACCCAGATCTGGCCTCCTATTTCCTGCAGTTCAAGTATTTCCCAAGCAGCCAGCATTCCTGGGCACATCAATCCTCACCTTTATATTGTTAATTAACTATCATCTCTGAGATAAAAATCCAAGCTCTTCCCACCTCCTAGAATGGCTCTGATAAAAAGACTGAACAGACCAAGTACTGGTGAAGAGAAGGAACTGGAACTGCTCCACTGTTGATGGGAAGTGTGAGACGGGGCAGCCGCCCTGGAAAACAGTCAGGCAGGTCCTCAAAATGTTAGTCAGAGTTACTGCTAGACCCAGTGACTCCATTCCTAGGCAGATACCCCAGAGGGTTGAAAATGTATGTCCACACAAAAACTTGTGCATGGGTATTCACAGCAGCGTTGGTCACGTTAGCCAAAAACTGAAAACAGCGCCAAGGCCCAGCAACAGGTGAATGGATTAAAAATGTGTGGCATAGGGGCACCTGGGTGGCTCAGTGGGTTAAAGCCTCTGCCTTTGGCTCAGGTCATGATCCCAGGGTCCTGGGACCGAGCCCCACATCGGCTCTCTGTTCGGCAGGGACCCTGCTTCCTCCTCTCTCTCTGCCTGCCTCTCTGCCTATTTGTGATCTCTGTCAGATAAATAAATAAAATCTTAAAAAAAAAAAATTGTGTGGCATATCCACACAGTGGAATTCACACACAGCAATAAGGAAGTACTCAGGCAGGCCACAACATTGGAGTCTTAGAACAATGACGCTAAGAACCCAGACTACAAAAGAATGCATTCCTTACAATGCCGTTTTGATAAAACTCTAGAAAACACAAACTTATCTATATGACAGAAAGCAGAGCGCTGTTGACCTGGAGATGAGGGTGGGGAAGAGCGAGGGCTTACAAACAGGAGACTTCTGGAGTGATAGATATGTTCATTACCTTGATTTCATGAGCATATCCGTATGTAAAAACCAATCAGATTGGATGTCTAAACAGATGCACTTTATTGTATGTCCATTATACCTCAGTAAAGCTGAAAAACAAAAGAATTGAAAATAAGACTCTTCCTAGACTTGGCCAAGGAAGCCCCAGCCTTCTCCAATACTCCATGGGGCACCAGCTGGGCCAACCACTATTATTGCTTCTTGCTGTTAGTCCAAACTGTAAGGTGTACTTCAGATGGTCATGGTGACCCATGGGTCACAGAAGACCCACTAGCCTTCCCGTGGAGTGCATTTGCTCCCTCCTCCCTGAAAGCCACCAATACAACCAGCCATAATGGCTAAGCCACTTAGCACTTAGTGTGTATTTCTAGGTCTGCCTTCCCTAATTCCAGAGAAACTCTGTAGTAAGGATGTTTCTCAGTTACTTTCACATTCCCAATTTAGTTTTGAAGAGTTTTTTGTTTTTTTTTTTTAATTTGTAAGTGTTCTTTCCACATAAGGGGATAATACAACATTTCAGAGACAACTCTTTAAGGACATCATTCATGCAGCTAAGAATTACGAAGGAGCTACTGCTCACGAGGCACTGAGCGAGGCCCCTAGAGCAAGGCTGTGTCACAGAGGAGAGGAAATTTTCCAACAGTTCCAACAGCCTGTTCAAGCTAAGAGATGCTGCAGGCACTAACGAGACACCTCACTTGATGTTAAAGGAGTAACTTCTCTCAGGAAAGGCTTCTTCGAGGTGGTATTTAGTCTGAAGAACGAAGAATGAATAGGAGCCCTGAGTGGGTTGGGGTGGGAGAGTTTCCCTGAAATGGACCACTGCATGCAAAGAAGCTGAGAAAGATAGCGAGCTAGATTAGCTGGGTCCTGAAACTTGGAGCCTTGTTTTGTTTGGTAGGAATATGCAAAGTTTTTTTTTTGTTTTGTTTTTTAAAGATTTTATTTATTTATTTCACAGAGAGAGATCACAAGCAAGCAGAGAGGCAGGCAGAGAGAGAGATAGAGAAGGAAGCAGGCTCTCCGCCGAGCAGAAAGCCGGACGCGGGACTCGATCCCAGGACCCTGAGATCATGACCCGAGCCGAAGGCAGAGGCCCAACCCACTGAGCCACCCAGGCGCCCCGAGATGCGAAGTTTTGATGGACCTGTCAGGCCATGTAAGGAGTTCAGCATTCGTTTAGATTCTAGAAGACTCTAGAAGGCAACACAGAGCTTTTGAAAGATTTTAAGCTGGGGAATATCTTGTTCACATTTGTGTTTCCAAAAAATAACCTTGGCAGGGCAAAGCTGGAGGCAGGGAACCTCTTAGGAAGGGATTACAGCAGTTCTGGGAAAGTTACCGGCTGCCTGAGGCGCCAGCAAGGAGGGAAGGTTGGAACAGGAGGATCTGTTACACGTTTGCTTCCACCTCCAGCCTGGTCGTCTGTTTGCTGGTAGATCACCAGATTCCTTCCATAGCATTCTAAGACCACGTCCTTGTCCTGACAGCCTAACCAAAAATGGCCCTCTTATCCAAGTTGTTGATACTTTCTCTGAGAGCCAAGAGTCCTTCACACTCATTGGAAATAGACAAACCTTGTTCCCAGGACAGTGACCAAACCAGGATCTCTCTCACCCTTGGGCTTTGAAACAAGTGCTATCAACAAGACTTTCTCCCATCTTTCTCCAGTGTTTAAAAAAGTAAAAGGATCAATCGATTCTAAGGGTTCAACATTAAAGCAGCAGAAGTCCATGACCCCACGTATTCCCAAACTTTGGAGAAGAGTTTGATCATGAGTGAGCCTGTCTTTTAGTTCTCAGCAGGCCTGGCTTCTGGAAACAAGGGCAGGGATGGGAAATCCTAGCCACCATGGGCCCACGCTGCCATGCTGGAGGCCCAGGCCAGGCACCCGAGTAAGGAGTGTCCCAGAGGGCCCTCATGTTTGGGGCTAGAGGACACATCCTTCTCAAAAATGTCTGTCTCCCAGCACCTAACATAGGCATATGGTAGCTGCTTCTTGAAGATCTACAGTTAGGACTTTAAGCGAATCACAGACTTAAAGGGGCTACCAGCACTACCTATAAGGGGGACTATGTTTCAGGCAAAGGGGGTTTATGTATTGGAAAGTCAGTGTTGAACTAGGAAAATTTATCTTCAGCTGTCAGCACCCCAAATCCCTTACAAATCCTTAGCAACCTTTGTTGGTGGTAGTAGTGGTAGTGGGGTTTAGCTGGTGAGCTTCCGGGCTGGTGGAGAGATGCGAAGCTGTGATGCAAACAGACCCTGGAAGATGGACCAGACTGCCCCAAAACTTGCACCCACTGCAGGCCGTGCTCCAGGAGGCCTCTCCCTGCCCCTTCTAACCAGCCGTACAGGTGATCTTCCTAGGCATTTGTAACAGTCAACATCCGTTTTTACCCAAAAAAAACAAAAAAAACAAAAAAAAAAAAAAACCAAAAAAACCCTTAATTTTTGACGAGAGTTTCCTGACACCATCTGACATTCTGGTTTTCCTATAAAGGATGGAAAGCATCTTCAAGGTGCCGGACTAGTCTCACCCTGCTCCACAAACTCTACTCTGGGTCACTCCAGCAGTCATTCATCCCTTCCACCCTGCACGTAGAATTCACTCTGGATGTAATCATTTACCACTTAACAGTAGTTGGCATACACTTTTAAAAATTAAACTCTATGCCCAACATGGGGCTTGAACTCACAACCCCAAGATCAAGAGTCACATGCTCTACAGGCTGAGCCAGCCAGGTGCCCATGGCATATAGACTTTCAGTGTTTAGCTTTGGTTTTGTTTTCCTAAGTAGACTGTGAAGTCTTTTAAGGCAAATCTTGAGGCTTCCGTTTCCCAGAGCACTTATTAGCACTGATCCCTGAACAGCTAATCAATGATTATTGATTGGCAGTGGTATTCAATCTATCAACGTAGGGGGAGGGGGCTGGCCAGCAGCAGAAGAGCCGCCTCTGTTGGCTTCTTTTTGTACAGAGGCTACAATTCTACCTTGTATATTCCTTGGGTTTTCCCAAAGTCCTTGGGTGATCTTGGAGAATACATCCTGGAACTAATTTAAGTCATGAGGAAAGGAGTTGGCAAGGAGCCCTAGCCGAAAAAGTGACATTTAAGGGCCAGAAAATCAGCAAGGTTATAGAGGATACCCATCTGCTTGCTCGCTGGCTTTGGTGGGAAACAGAAAGGCCGGGAGCTACTAACATTTCACAGTGGAATCCAGGTTAAACAATCACAAGGCGTGTGAACACAGGCAAACCACTTGACATCACTTGAGCCAGCAGAAAAAATGGATAAAAAGCAATCTTTGGCAAGGCAGCCAAGGCCGCACTGAAACAGCTTCCCCAAACACCACCTCTTTCTGCCAAAGCAAGCTTCTACTTATTGGTGGCTCAGAATACAAAGCTCATCTCTCAAAACTAATCTTTTAAGTCCTCATTTGGAGTTGCTGTCGGCTGCCACCTTGTGGTCCATATTACAGCTGCCTACCGAGACAAACAGGTGGCTGCTACCAGCACAAAACCACCTGTTCCCAAATGCTACGAATCTCACTTGGCTAACTGTCCATCTCTGCACAATGCTTGGCCTGTAGTATTGAATAAACAGGACTCCCAAGTCCCCCCCACACCCTTAAGATCCACTAGTTACCAGTTTCACTGAACTCACCTTGGCAGACACGTCCTGAGTTGTTGGCCCGAAGCCGCTGCCTCAAAGCCTTTGACCCCGTCCCATGTGCTTCCTGCAACCATCACCAGTCATGGTTCCATCTGTAAGCCAAAGCCAGTATTTGACCCAGCAAACCACTGCAGGATTATGCCCCTGAACTTCTCACTGGCTGCACCTTCATGGCACCAAGGTCCCTTGGTATCTTTACCAAGATGGCACTTGGCCCCACTGGGGAATGTCACCACTCTAATCCATTTACTCCCATCACATGTAGGGAGGGCCACCACTTAAAAAGGCTCCAGGACACTGGACAAGTGTTTCCTCCTTTTAAAGGAGCCCTGGGCTGGGGCGCCTGGTAGTTCAGATGGTTAGCATCTGCCTTTGGCTCAGGTCACCATCTCCAGGTCCTAGGATAGAACCCCATCTTGGGCTGCCAGCTCAGCAGGGAGTCTGCTTCTCTCTCTCCCTCTGCTTGTGCACTTTTTTTTTTTTAAGATTTATTTATTTATTTGACAGACAGAGACCACAAGTAGGCAGGGAGGCAGGCAGAGAGAGGACGAAGCAGGCTCCCTGCTGAGCAGAGCGCCCCACGCGGGACTCAATCCCAGGACTCTGGGATCATGACCCGAGCCGAAGGCAGAGGCTCCAACCCACTGAGCCACCCAGGCGCCCCTGCTTGTGCACTTTTAAATGAATAAATAAAATCTTTAAAATAAACAAATAAAGGAACCTGGGATGGCAAGAGTTCCAACCAGCTATTGTGATTATGTAAAAACAAAAACTCCCATGGGTTCTTCCTATGGCTAGCGGTTCCTTTCAGGTGTTTGTGCAATTTTAACTCTGTTTTCTCCTTCCATTCATATAAACCTTAAGCCTTGAAGGTTAAGACTAAATTCTGGGGTTAACAGAGCAGCAACATGCCCTCATTGCAGAGCTGCACCAGCAGGGGCCGCCTAGAGAAGATGCCCCGCTCTCCAACTAGCCCCCGAACAGCAACCACACTGGACATCACTCCATGGGACAGCATGTCCTGGAACACAGGGCCAGAACTGCATCCCTAAACAACCACATGTGATGCCACCCTGCATGGGGATGACCCCTTACCCCAGTCCAGTCTTGCCCCATTTACATTGTAATCCTTCTATCATTCCTGTTCAGGCCACATAATGCAAACCAAATAGGACACAACGAGATTAATTTTTTTCTGGCTACAAATTTATTCAACACAAAACAATCTCCAACTTTACTGAGGTGGCTGACCACGTCCACGACCAAATCCGCCTCTCTGCAAGAGAAAACAGACGGCATGAGCATTAGTAGCAGGCTGAGCAGCAGGCCTCATTATCACAGGACAGGGCCCGAAAGTAATGCTGAAGAGTTCAGGCCATAAATTCAGCCCTGCCTCTTACTATGAGGCCACATTCACCACCCAGGCCGGTTTCCACATCTGTAAAATGGGAATATGGATACCCACTCAAGGGTGTGTTTACACACACACACACACCCCTCTCAGCACAGGACAAGACCTTGTGCCTGCCACAAACACCACCAGCTGTCGCTCCAACAGGGCTACACCCGCCCCTGTGCTGGGCACTCTTCCTAATCGCACAAGCACCTGACACAACTACAATCGGAACACCTATTTTAAGGATGAGGAAAACAGAAGCACAGCAGGGATGTATCCAATTATCACATCATCTGAAGAAGATGAAGACCCTGACCCCAGCCATCTTGGTTCTAGAACTCACTCAATCTCTAGTCTAGAGTTCTTAACCCTAAGTCTTAATTCATGAAAATAAGGGAGTCACAATTATGATGCTCACTAATGAAGAAACCAACCTTATGCCACATGTAGTACTGATCTGGGAGACTCATTTCAGTAATATATCTATTTACAAAAGTTTACATACTATATCTTCATTTAAAAACTCAGAATTCATGTTATTTTTTGGGGGGATCCACTGTAGCAAGGGGTGGACCCACCACACTGCATAGGATCCCTAGAACTTGCAGGCCCCCAGGGCCAGGCCAGAACAATGACATCTAGGGAGAGCCAACAGGGATACTCACAAACTGGAACTCAGTTGCTGACCCAGCCCCGGCCTCAGCTTTCTTGTCGGCACCAGCTGGAAGGAGAAACACCAATTCAGAGTCATCTTATGTTATGATCTGTTACAGACCAAGGGAAGACAGGTCTCCAGGCTGATTCTGCAGAAGCCTTGTCCGCAAATGTACCCCGGGAAGTACAAGTAAGTTACACCAAGTGGTGGGAACACCCTGTGAACAGCTTCTGCCCCCTCCCTCTCCTGGAAAAGCTTTCCTTAAATCATCCTTCCAAACTCACAGCCCAAACTGTCACTTCCAGGAAGGCTGCCCAGACCACAAAGCCTGGGGTATGTGCCCCTCTCTATGGCCAAAGACGACCCTCGTTTCCCACCAAGTTACTTACATGCTTCAGACTGGCATCTAGCTTACAGAAGAGATAAAGGACACAAAGGCCCACAAAAGCAAAACCAACCAGCAGCATGACCATGATAACAAATAAGATGAAAGATCCAGTACTGCCCTGACCTGTACAGTGGCCACTAGTCCAAACTGAGGTGTGTGCAACGTACACGTAAGTAGTCAAGATTTAAGAGAATGCAAAACATCTCGCTAATGTTTATACAGATTACATGTTAAAATAACATTTTAAAATATACTGCATTTCGGGTGCCTGGCTGGCTCAGCTGGTAGAGCATACAACTCTTGATCTTGGGGTTGTAGGTTTGAGTCCCATGTTGGGTGTATATCATTTAAAATCTTTAAAAAAATACAATAAACCATACTGGATTTAAAAAATTATTGCTGTAAACTACTTTCCACTTGTCTTAGGTGTGGCCACTAGGAAATGTTATGGTTCACGAGGGGTGTGGATGGGGACAGCACCATCAGGGGGCGTAGTCTCACTAATATCTCAATTGGGTCTCTCGTTGGCCCATTTCAGACCACATCCATCATTAGGTTCTTGACCCTCACTTCCCTGCCGCCCAAGCTACCATGTCCCCAACTCTACTTTTGTTCAGGCTGCTCTCACCCCACCTCAACTTGGAGACCCATAAGGCTCAGGCCCAACCTCGTATCCTCTGGAGAACTACTCCCTGACTGATTGCCCACGTGGTGTGACTTCTAGTAGGAGCAACCATTAACTTCCTTTGAACTGAGAGCCTGTTTGTTGGAAAAATTCTTACTATTCAGTAACATACTCAAGTCAAGTGATCACTTCTATTTCATGTTTCAACAATTAGCAGCCATGACCAGAGACAGGCAAGAGTAAAGAAGTTAATGAAAATTCCCCTTCATGGGGTGCCTGGATGGCTCAGTGGGTTAAAGCCTCTGCCTTCTGCTCAGGTCATGATCCCAGGGTCTTAGGATCAAGCCCCGCATTGGGCTCTTTGCTCAGAAGGGAGCCTGCCCCCTCCCCACCTCTCTCTGCCTGCCTCTCTGCCTACTTGTGATCTGTCAAATAAAAAAATAAAATCTTAAAAAAAAAAAAAAAAAAAAAAAAAGAATGTTCCCCTTCATACTCTGCTTTCATATCACCATCAACTGCCTCTCAACAAAGATACAGACTATTAAAAAAAATAAAAAAGTCCCAAGCCCTGGGATGGTTAAGTCACTCAGGGTGGCTGAGTCAGTTAAGTGTCCGCCTTTGGCTCAGGTCATGATCCCGGGATCCTGGAATGGAGTCCCACATCAGCCTCCCTGCTCAGCAGGGAGTCTACATCCCCCCTCTGCCTGCTCCCCCTGCCTGTGCACTCTGACAAATAAATAAAATCCTTTAAAAAATAAATAAAATAAATCCCAAGCCCTACCATGGCCCACAGAGCTATGAGACCTACATCCTCATAGGACTCTCCGGCTGCCTTCTGGTTCAGAAAGCCATGTGCCTTCATGGTCGTCCCCCAGGGAGCCAATGGCTGACTCCTTCCTTCAGGTGTTTGCTTATTAAATCGTACTTCTGCAGCTTTCCCTGAAAACTGTACCATTGATCCCCCTGCTTGAATTTTTCCCTGCAGCACCCATACCATGGACATCTAGACAGTCCTTTCTGCTTACTAGTTTCCTACTACTAAAACGCAATTTCAATGAGAAAGGTCTTTTGTCTGTTATGCACACTGTCTTTGGCTCCCAGAACAGAGCCTGGCAAGTCAGACACTCAACATGTATACATTATCTGAATGAACAAACACCTGTTATTCCAAGTCAACGCAAACACCTGCTGTTCAAAAACGAAAATTTTTTTGTTTAAAACTATTTTTTAAGAAAACAACAGGGATAACTTAAGTGGGCGCCCTCAAGAGTCTGTGACACAGGAACACAACTACAAAACTAAGAAAAGCATGTTGCTTTCTTGAAAGTTTTCAATTTTGCTCTAGTTAGAGGTCTTCAACAGAACTTGTCTGTATCCCAAATGAAGCAGGCTTTTGTCCTAACCCCACCCATCAAACCCCTGCAACAAGGCAAGAAACGTAAGGGACTCCAGCTAAAAAGGACCTGAAGATTGAGACCAAGAATCTTTCCTGGTCACCTTGGCACTTTCAAAGGCTGTGTCCCAGCCAGGGTGCCCAAGAATCCAAGGACTCTTCCCCAATGCCCCGACAGAGAGGATGCATCACTCACGGGGCACAGCGCTTCGTCTGTAGGTGTCTCTGTCAGCTTCCCCTCGTGTGAGTCTTGCAGGTCGCTCTCCCTCCAGACCTATACAAATTAAACCACATGAGAATGTAGGGCAATGTGCAGACTCTGTGCCCTTCAGGACGAGAAAAGTGGAAACAACTTAGTTATGATGGGTTAAAGGGAACAGAACTCTTGGACCCAGAGCTATCAGCTAGAAATTTTGTCATCAATGACACTAGCTTCTCCAGAGCCTAGAACACTCAAAATTAAAATGCCACCCATCTGCAAAAGGATCACTTTTTTCTATTATATTTCTCAACACAGATACACATTTTCCAATTACTCGGCAAATTAAGCAATCCAACCATTTCTACAAACATCTGAATAGCCAAAATTTTGAACCTGACCCATCTCTGAAGTGGAAAATCTCCTGGGCAAACAGGAAAGGAGGTACCATAAGCTGAAAGCCCCACTTCCAATAGTCAGGGTGTAAATACAGAGGCCACCAGAGAGTCCTTAGCTGCTCTGGGCTT